ATAGATAGATAGATAGATAGATAGATAGATAAATAAAAAAAAACAAATAGATAAAAAATAATAGCACTGCTCATATAGGAAGATGTTGAACAGCTTCACTGCACTGAAGACTAAACCGTATGAGCATACCGTAATGATTATCAGTGTCAGATTCACGGGGAATTCACATTTTAAGTTATCTAGAGGTGCCATAATCACAATTTGGTATAATTCCTCCATCTGTGAAAGTACCTCACCGGGCCCCCTTTATTTTGAATTACTTGATCCGCCACATACTTTCATTATAATAAACATAATCATCATCATCATCATCATTATTTTTATTATAATAAACACAATCATCATCATCATCAATCATCATCACCATCCTTATAATCTTCATCACCATAATCATAATTTTCATCATCATCATCATAATCGTCATCATCATAACCAACACTACCATTATCATGCATCCTCATCAACACCACTATCAGTATCATCATGTTGAATAGCGCTTCTTAATGCAAGGTTCATTATAATACATTTTTGCATTGCAAACTCTGTTCTGACTTTATGTTAATCAATTTATAGAGCTCTCGGAAAGAAATCCAGCAGATAATTAATGTGAAATCATGTACGCTTGTTCTTTAACGGTGCCCGGGTTTATACCGTACGTCATCACGCGGGTGGCTTTCTCACATATCCTCCAATCATAGACCCGCAGGCATCACGCACTCCAATCAAGGAGCTTGCACCCAGAAGAACATACGCAAAGCATTATTATTACAGCCAATCAGGACAACGAAAATTCAGGATATTTAAATTTTCCACAGGCACTGTTTCAGGGTCAGCGTTGCTGTCAAAGAGTTATTGTAAACAAACAAATAAATAAAAAATAATAATGGATGCTTATATTTAAAAAAAAAGTTTTACAAATATTCACAACATATTCACTCAAGTAATGTTAAATAACTAGATTTAATAATATGGATTAGGTATAAAGCGAAAATAATTAAACACTTAGCGAAATATGCTGACCACAGAACATGGGTCGCACATTAGGCACGTCAGTAATCTTCATAACGAGACAAATCACTTCTGTCTTTCCATAAAAATACTCAGACGTGAAATCGTTACGTATAATCACTAATTTATAACTACAGTATTTTGTATATAGCGATATAGCGAACTCATCGCCAATGAATCCGAAAACATAATGAATAAGAGCGGCTGCATTTAGATATTTTTAAGACGCAGCTGAGATAGGCCTACAACATTGAAAGACACTTCGTTTGAATTTTTCACGAATATTATAATTACACTAGCTGCGGTTATAGAATTACGGTACCGGCCAACATGTTTTAGACACTACAAAAAGTTCATATTTTACGAGATGCATAATCCGAATGCAAACACTCGTAAAATATATTTTATTTATACAGTATATTTAGACATTTTTAGTAGGCCTGGTCTTCCGACAGTTTATGTTCGTACATTATGGATTTATGGTCTAACCTTGTGAAGCAAGAGCTATAGCCTAAAGGTTATCATGTTATTATTCTTGCTAGGCCTAATATCGGACTTTTGTCAATGAATTTATGCTCGCTGTCCTTCAAGTTCGGCGCTTATTCGAGAGCGACGCTTATAAAAAAAATGCCCGTTCCCATGTTACATATTATCTCACGTATTTCCGTAGTTCGGTAGGCCTACATAAGTCCTACTTCATGCCTCTGTCTTCATTGTGTTATATATTCCATTTTAACGCTGTATACATTGTATTTAAAACCCTGTTTTTCAAATTGTTTCATTACACACATGGTAATATATAAACTCTCGATTAAGCGCCGCGGCACTTAGCTAAAAAAAGGTTTGGTGTGGCGCATATTTGAGAGCGACGCCTACTCGAGAGCGGCGCTTATTCGAGCATTTACGGTATTGTTAGTTCTGATACTCTCTATAAGCATCGAGGTATCCATGCTACACGTGAAGTGCATTGATTGAGTGATCAAAATGATTGATTGATCAATCGATTGATTGATATATTGATTGAGTGATTGATATGTAGATTGCGTGATTGATGGGCTTGAATGATTGATTGATGCTGGTTGGTAGATCGACAGAAAGGTAGATTGATGTATTGATCGACAAAATAATTGATTGATTGATATGTAGATTGCGTGATTGATAGGCTTAAATGATTGATATAGATTGGTAGATCGACAGAAAGGTAGATGTATTGATCGACTAAATGACTGATTGATTGATTGATTGATAGATTGGCCGACCGTCACACCGACCGACTGACGGACGGATGACCAAACTGACTGATTGAAGGATTGACTGAACAAGACTCTGACTGCTGACTCAGATTGACTGACTGATTATTAAACGATTAATTAATTGACTAAATCTATGTAAATGACCGACAGAAATAGCCAAAAAGATGGCTTATATATATATCTACATGATTTCATCACAACCGTGCATCAAGCTTCATGTTCTTCATATGCTGTTATGCTAATTTGATTACATAAAGCATTATGTACACTATACTAAGACTTACACAAAGAGGCTGATGTATACACAAAGCTATGTTTAATGATGTGTGTATGTGCTTATAAATAAAAAAAAAATGTGGATGTGTAAACGGTACTGGTACATGTAGGTCACCTTGTAGTAGCAAAATGAGATGCGCGATATTCGTAAAGCTAATGAGGCCATTTCATTGATTGAAAAACAAATACGCCAAAAGCCTATTTGTTTAAATATTCATTTAAACGATCGGAATATATCATGTTTAAATATTGTAACTGCTAGCAACTTTGGACTGACTCACAATGACGTTCAAGTTATTGTTGGATATCTGTAAAGGACGTCAAAAACCATCATCTATACAATGTATTAATACGATTTCGATTCCACATTTCATTATTTAGGCGTGACTGAATTTCCACTTTGATAAAATACTGTCGGGGAGAAAAACCACAATTACTATTATTTGTATTTTCTACAAATTTAGAATCAATTAAAAAAACATTTGAAACCCCTAGAACACTTTCGAGAGATTTTGAGCGACGCCAGATCACGCCCACTTTTCTTTCGTCGGGGACATGGCCACCCCCTCCCCCTCGCCGGGGACATCGGCCCCTCCGTCGAGCAAATCCTCCCGCTACCCCTGATTGAGGGTACCAAATGATTGCATTCACACACACAAAAAAAAAAAAAAAAAAAAAAAAAATGCTGAAATACATATAATAAATTAACAGCAACTTTTTACAATTTCTATTGAAATTAAACAAATTGGAAAATTATATACCAATATCACTTCCAATTCGGGTCACTGCGAGACAAATCTGTTTTCTCTGATTTAAAGATATTTTTTACCTGGCGAAAGGATTATGAATTGAAACCAGTCGACTTCAGTGTCTTTCAAAGAACAAAAAACGGTATTATCTATCAATATATTTGTAATTTAAAGAGGTAACTATTCTAATAGTCCTATTCAATTGAAAGTTTAATAAAGATTAACTGTGGTCGCTCATTATTAAAAAAATAGGCCTAATTAATTAAAGAGCCAGCGATTGAATTAAAATGCTAGCTTTGGTTGTTCAGGAAAATAATATTAGCCTAATAATATATCGGGTTGTTTGTGATCGTATACTTTCAATTTGTACGGCTAATTATTTCAAGTATAGATTAATTATTTATATGATAATTACTTTCCACGTATACTACCGGCCATAACCTTACTTTTCGCGCCTAAGCCCATGAATTTTCGAGATAATTCCCTTATCATTATAAATGATTTCTTGCAGTAATAATTAGTAGGTAACAACGACGTCGACATAAATGCAAATCCAAAACCTACTTACCATCTCATAGTATTTACGTCAATGCTTCATGGAGAAAAACAACAATAGACGCTTCTTATTGCGGATGTTACCTGTACCGCCGTATCATAACACAGTTGATAGGTAACTAGGCCTACATCTTAGCAACGACGCGCTAACGACACTCCGATATCATCTTCTCCAGCTCTCGCAACCGAATTGAATTCTTGGAACCAAGCTTTACATATGTAAATAGGCTTATTGGTACAGTACTTTGAATGCGTTCTATATAATATACACAGGAACAATGTGGGGAGATGCTGGATTAAATGCCGCTTCTACGTTGACCATATTAATAACTGCTACTGTCTGCCTGCCTTCGATGCTCCTGAGCAAAATTAGTTATCGATGACGCATGCGTAGATATATTAAATTTTCTACTTAACTCGCGAAATGGTAGAACCATATTAACGGGAAAAGATCATAATAAAAGATAACAACTAAATCTTAAAATTGCCGGCATAAATTGGGCTGTTCAGAAAAAATCCTATTTATGAAATATTGTATTGTATTTGTTAATGTTCTCTCCATTTGTCCATATGCGGAGGCATATTCTTATTATGTTTTAAGGTGATGAAAAAAACCCAACGTAGGCCTACATATATTTGGCCTATCACTGATGGAATGTTTTTCAAATAACTGATTTTTTATATTATTATTATTTAGTTTTATAAATAACTAAGTTTTTCCTTTTTATAAATCTTATTTTACTTTTTTATTCTCTTTAATTTCACAGCTGAACTTTTACCATTTAAAGGTGTAAATTAATTAATAAATAAATGGTAGAATGAATGAGTGAACGTCGAACGATCGAAAGAAAAAAAGAATGAATGAATGAATGAATGAATGAATAAATGAATGAATGTGGAGACGATAATAATCTCACACGCTGTCGTATGCGTCAGCAGCTGTGGTATCATCATTTTCTGGCTATATACAGTAGGTTTACCCGACCCAATAGGACTAACGATCATTTGAATAAAGTATAATCATGTAATTAATTAATAAATAAATGATTGAATGAATGAGTGAAGGTCGAACGATCGAAAGAATGAATGAATGAATGAATGAATGAATGAATGTGGAGATGATAATAATCTCACCCGCTGTCTTATGCGTCAGCAGCTGAGGTATCATCATCTCCTGGCTATGTACAGTAGGCCTAGGCTTACCCGACCCAATAGGCCTAACGATCATTTGAATAAAGTATAATCATAAATATGGGATTCTAAGTAAATTAAAACGCAGGAAATAATAAATTCATGTGCTAATTGTCTTGGTACATTGAATGCAATCCCAGATACCAATGATACATTGACGACACATCAGGAAAAAAATGGCCTAAAATAGGCTCAAGATGAAGTTTTGCTATTCGTTTGTTGTGGCGTCTCTTCACAAAGGGCGTGTGTGTATGGGGAAGGACCAAGTAAACCATAACAGGTGTCAAGCATTTCTACTCTATTCATCTTTTAAAAAATCATTTCGTTTATTATTATGAGGTATGAGAACGTTGATTTATTTTATAATCTCTAGAGAGACAAGACGTTAATCGTTATAGGGCTTATTAACGTCGCTAATTATATGTAGTTACACGTCATAGTCGACCCTGGGAAAATGGGCATTAGGTTCCGAGGTCTCCGGTAAATGTCATGTCTTTGATAAATGTGCATATTAATGATCAGAATAGGCAGTAATTGTTCTGTTACCTTTAGGCCTAGTGGGCATCCGTGACATTGACCATGATTGACGATGACTATCAACGATTTGAGAAAAATGAAGAAACGCAAAATTACAAAATTATGGGATTTCATGTCCTTGCTCAATCAATTTCAAACAGAATACTTGAAGAATAATTATTGGCATTTATCATGGATCTATATTAAAAGTTCATTGTTTTATAATGTGTAAAGCACAATCAGTCTTTTAATATCAATACTGTTTCAATCAAAACCATTTCTATGTAATTAAGCTTACCAGTCCATTAGCGTTTAAATACAGCGCACACGCACCGTACAGCAAAGACAAATACACACATCTAATAATTATTGTTTAATCTTCCTTCTCTACAGAATCGTTGCCATGTTGCGTTTCTTTCGTTTTCTAAATGCAGCTCACCGTACAGCAGACAAATACTGTACACGTCACACATCCAGTTCCCAATATTCCTTCAAATCGTTAATAGTCTTCTTCTTCGTCAAGGCCACCGATGCCCAATATAACAGAATACTGCCTAATCCGGCTCGTTAATAGGCACATTCATCAAAGATATGCCATTTATATCAGAGACCTAGGAAATCTAATGCCAATTTTCCCAGGGTCCAATATGACGTTTAACTACATATAATTAGCATGACGTTTATAAATATCTTGTCAATATACCTTCTAGAGATAGACGTGAAATAAATCAACGTTCTCATACCTCGTAATAATAAAGAAAATTATTTTTGAAGGGATGTATTGAAATGCTTGACACCTGTTCATTTCTCCTTTGCATTAGCATTTTGTTTGTGTATAACCCTTTTATATGTTTCTTCATTGAGAATTTTCCAATAATGAAGCTTAATAAATATATTATTCAACTGTGAACGCAGAGATTAATTGCTACGGCGATGATATTTTTAATGATTAATCTCAATTCAATTCAAATGAATATATTCAAAAACGTCCTCGGGCAATTATTGTTGAGAAGGGATTCTTTGAGGGGGCGTTTACTCAAGCGAGGCGTTTATTATTATTATGTTTTTGTGTTTGTAATGGATACGTAGGCCACCGCTCATTTTCGCTGTAATGTGTTACTGCATGATCATAAAGACTTATTTATCTCAAACAGGTTAGAAAAAAGTAATTCTACAGAAAATAGAATATTAATAGAATATGTTGAGAATGACTTTGCTTCCATTAGATTTGTTAACAAAATAGGCATTTATTCCAAATGGTACTCTAGATGGGGAAGGGGGGAGTAATCATCGAGGGGCTGTTTATTCAAAATAATTTATTTCGAATACGATTCACCTTGATTCACATACGTTATAGATCCTAAATACCATTATCTCCTGTTTTATCCAAATATTCGCCAAAACCCCTTACAAACATTAAATGTACAGTACTGGAATATTGTAATGATGTAGGTGTGCCCGAGTAAAGAAAAGCGATAGATTCGTTCCATTTCTCTAATAGCGTTTATGGACAGGAGAGGGCGCTATGCCAGTAACTATAAATACTATATGTTCATCCTTCACTCCTCCTTGGTTCTGTGAAATCAAAACGATAAACAAATAAAACTCAAAGAAATAAAAGTCAAATTGGATAGCTTTATTCGACTTCAACAGGTTTGACATCTATTAATCCAATTTTTGTGAGTGGAGATAACATTTCTGATAATTTTCATTTTATCTCTCCAACTTTTACAAAATTATATACAATAAAAACTTAATACATAATATTTTAGATACTAAAATTCTATATTTATATTTCCATTTTTGATGTTTTTTTTTCTGATGCTAGTATTTTAGATAGAAATGCGAGATTAAAAATAGAATAGGATAGGACCAATTATAATGTTCAACGATTCAAAACCATTTTAATCATGAGTTAAATCCCCACTCTATCTTCTACCATCACAACAACTCAGCTTTAGTACACCCATATTTTTCCCAAAGCTCAGAAGCCTTCATCAGAATTACATCACAATGGTCGCAAGGTAGCTGAAAGATGAAATTAATATACTGTAAGTTGACTGTCTGATAACCTGTTGGTTGGATGCCAGCTTGATCATTTCTAAAAGTATAAAAATCTATTACAAGCTACAAAAAAAAAAAAAAAAAAAAAAAAAAAAAAAAAAATGCAAACTTATTGGAACTTATTCTATTATTTTAAAGAATACACACCTTTTCTAAAAACTTTAAAAGATCTTGTTGTTTTTTGGTATTTATCAGTTGCATTTTGTAAGTGAGAAAAATAGCTATGGCAACAAAGACGAGGAACTTGCAAGATCCACCAATGAAGCGATCCCATATCCTAAAAAAGAAAATTTTGCTTAATACAAAAGCATTAATTCGTCGCTCACATCACGAACTAACACAATCAAAGTAGATTGTGTTAGTTCGTGAAATCACAGTAGCGCGTCAAAACGAGCGCGTATTGGTTGTCAAGCAATTTTGTATTCTTTACCACACAAAAAGTCCTTAACGACAGCAGCGATTTCACGAACTAACACAATTGAATTTAATTGTGTTAGTTCGTGATGTGAGCGACGAATTATTTCTGCAGATCCACAGAAGTAAAATTTTACTGAGCAAGAAATAGATAAAATCAAATAAAATGAAAATGGAAGAAAATAATAATAATTTAATTGCAGTATAAAATATGTGATTGTTCAGTGGATGCAGTTCAAGTTTGACCGTTTGACCTTAAGGTCAGTAGTTCCACAATTTTGCTGTACATCCCGCTTTCGTCCTTGGGCAAGGCACTTTACTTTTGTTCCTCTTTAACCACCCAAGAGTATAAATGGGTACCAAAGAGAATGTTGTGGCATTGGATGTACTCAGCTAGATATGATCCCCAGGAAGCAGAGAATGTGGCACTTTTTGACTTCAATTAAATCCAGATGCTGGCTGCGTTTTAAACAGGTGTCTTCAGCACAAGAAGAAACAATACCTTTCAACCAATCGCTCACTTCAAATTTGGTCTCTTGTTTTGAAGTTTTGCTTATTTGATGTTTACTGTACTTTTAAAATTTCTCTGTTTCAATTAATTGTATTTTTAAATCAATTAATGAAAATTGTATTACCTTTCGACAGTGCTGACTGGAAACACAGAGGAAAAAAGCGACTGGAACCATTTTTGGTATGGCAACCTCTTAACACATTTTAAGGCCTCCAAATGTTCATACAACACAGGATCTTCCTTTGTAAGGTAACTAATGAAAGAAGACGGCTGTGGAGAAAATAATACAATAAAACAATAAAATATAGAAAAACTAAGAAATTGATAGCATTCTTAATACTATGGAAGACACATTGGAAGCAGTTTGGTGCAGTCGATATGGATTGGTTTCCCAACCTCGAGGTCAGGATTTCAATCCTTCGCTGTGCATTTTGCTTGTGTCTTGAGCAAGGCACCAGCAAAGCACTGGGAGTAACCTGCAGTGAACAAGCATCCCACCCAGGGGGAGCATCACACTTATCTAATTCAAACTACCTGAAACTGGAGGTAAGTATCCTATGAGCCCTGTGGCTCTGGAATATTAACTTATGGAAGGCACATGGTGCAATAACTGACCAGAGTTTAATGCACAAAGACTCACGGATCTCTATTCCATGAAATTTAAAAATGGAAGAGTAAATCTGGAAGAAAAAAAACAAGCAACATTTTTGGGCATTAATAGTTCGGATCACATTCTTTACATAGAAAAGGACCAATGATAATGTTAATGACTCATATAATTACCATTGTTTCTAAGAGATCGGCATGCTTTTCTCGGAGTTGATATATTCTAAAAGCCAACCAATAAGCATCGTCGAAATCCTCAGTCATATCACACGTTGCCGTAGCAACATCGAGGGATATGATGGAGTCTTCAATATCATGCTGAAAGTTACAGAAAGAAACAGTTATTATTTATATAAAGATATACTGTGTCTACTAATGTAATAAGCCTGAACTACAAGACAGAGATAGTTTAACCAATTAGTTAAGTGGGTGTCTTTAAGCATAGTTTCAGTTTTATAGGGTTACATCACTTTTTTTTTATTTTACCAAACTTATCAAACTCAAAGAGTTCAATCACCAGCACTGTACAAAGTATAATTAATATTATTATATTATTATTATTATTATTATTATTATTATTACTATCATTATTATTATTATTTATTATTATGATGATGATGATGATGATGATGATGATGATGATGATGATTGTTATGATTGTTATGACGATTATAATGTTAAATCTGGAGAGAACAATGATCCCATACAAGATTTTCATCTTCAAGTGGTAATAGCCCCTCTTGTAGAAGAAACATTTTAAAGATGACCTCTGCCTCAGATGTTTCATCATTGATGATATTCATGACCTTAAGTGACCTCTGGAGATCATTACATTGCTGAGTTCTCTGGTTCCAAACAAACTGATGGACTGATTGATGGACCGGTAGAATTCCTGAACAAATAAACCACAATAATAATTTCAATTACAATAACAACCAAAATACTTTAATTATAAAAATAATGTAAAATGGCCTTTTGTTATTAATTATTGATGAATGTGTGTTGATGTTGCTGAGCATAGTTGTAATGATGGTGATGATAGACTGTTGTCATGCAGGAAAGAAGCAATCTTCTTCTGGAAGAGTTTGTATAATTTTGCCTTTTTTTTTATATTATAGAACCATAATTTATACAGCGCCTTTCACAATCCACAGATTTTACAAGCGATTATACAAGGCACTTTCATCATTATTTCCCTGGTCTCTGGATACTGAATTGGAAGATCCGCACATAGTGCAACTTTCTCTGCTCCTTGAGGAGTATCCCTGGTCATTGCTGCTTGAACACGCACGACTCATACATTCAACGCCATACCATCTTATTACCAGGTACCCATTTATACACCTGGGTAGAGAGAGGCAAACGCAAGCAAAGTGCCTTGCCCAAGGACACAAGCAATGCGACGAGCGTCGGTCACGAACTTCCGATTTCACAATCGGAAGTTCAACACCTTACACGCTGCGCCACATGCTAATGTGAACCCCGCAATATGACCTTTGTTACGGTCGTTTATCCGTCTACATTTTTTATCATCTACTGTTATACTGTACAGGGTTGTGGCCACACTTGTTCCTTTATTTTCCATAGATGTTCATAGTTTCTGTCTCCCACCTGTGTGCAAGTTTGTATAGAATCAGGGGCGGATCCAGAATATCCCCCTACTAGATCCACGCCCGAGAATCATGTGACAAAACAAAATTCAACCACAAATGCATACAGGTCTCCCTTCAATTAAAGACCACTTTTGGAACCGGGCTTTCCATGGTCTTTCGCAGCTTTGGTTTGTAATTAGAATAATAAAGATAAAAGACAGTGTTAAAATGGGACGACAGAAAAATGGTCTTTAATTGGAGGTGGTCTCTAATTGGAGGTGGTCTTTAATTAGATGGAGAATAAGTGTCCTAGTGCACATTACCAAGTAAGACTTTCCATACAAGCTGACGGTACATAACAGGAACTGGAAATCTCTGACAGAACACAGCCAGCTTCTGATCATCTAAACATAAAATGAAAAAGACTTGCACACAATTAAAAGACATTTACTGGCAGCAGAAAGCAGACTCCAGGGGAGGGGAAAAGATTTTGTTTGGCGGAAAAATAAAGACAAATTTGCTACAAAGCATTATAGCCAAGGATTATAGCCCAAATAAGAAAGATTTTGGAAGAGGGTGCCCACAACAGATAGGGAGGGACCTTACAGTGGCAGCACCAGTGATTGAGTATAATGCTAAGATATCTCAAAACAAAGTTAAATTTCCGAGATTTTTCTACAAGGCACCAGACTGTGTACTACCCCAACCACTGTCCAGAGCTCTGCCAGTGCCAGGGCTACAAAAGCCTCTACAGTAAAGGCCTAGTTGGCTGCCGACACCTTCGGACGCGCTGAATTTTGTATGGAGTGCCATTTGGGCATTATCCCACACTACATATATTCCATTTTAAGCCTTCAATAAATTTCTACATGTACTATTTCTGGAAAATAACTATAAAAAATCGGAAAAAAACTTCCCCACTAACAGTTTCCCACGGTACTCTTGAGTGTAAGCGACATTTTTGAATGCCATCTTCAGGAATGTGGGCTCATTACTGGAAAAGACAGAAGTAGGTCAGATGCTAAAAAATAGACTAGCTATTTTTAGGTACAAACACGTGAGATGGCAGTGAAATGTGTCACATGAGTTCATGTACTGTACTTAATCATATCATTAACTTTGAATCGTCTGCTACTAATATAAAATACACATATAAATGGAAATATAGTAAAATATAGAAAATAAAAACCATCATTATTGATGTTTCAACTGTTTCCTTCCTCCACTTTATATCTATATTTCTATGATTTTAATTATACAACAAATTTATAAGCTTTAAAAAATGAAAAAATAAAAAAATCCCAAAAATGTCCCTGGCTTGCCTACATCTGATAACTAAGCCTCATCATAAAGCCCAGCCTGGCCGAGCACAAGTATGCTATCCCGGCGAGACCATCCGCCAAGCATGCCTCTCCATTCTGATGTGCACGATGGACGACATGACGTGGCGTGGGCCTAGCTAGACCTAACTAATCCTGAACAAAAAGATAACAGACTACCTAGTGGGTCATCTTTTAGGAGAATCTGTAGAGACTTCTTTTCTTCAACTCCACGAAATCCAACTTTTTCATAGTAATGTGACCGGAAGTTCCTATCTTCTGTCATTTCGAAGTTAAGATTAGCGTAAGCCTAGGCTAGGCTAGCCCAAAGCCCATTCGCACACGTCTCTCTCCCTCTCCCTCTCTCTATCGAGTGTCGACAAAATAATAATATTGACTAAATAGACTCATTGCCTGCCGTCCTGTGGTGGATACAGACATGCTGCGACAACATCAATTTACTAATTGAAATATAGGCCTATAGGCCCCTAATAAATAAATGAATAAATAAATACAAAGAGAAGCCATTTAGACTGAAATTCATTCATTATTTTGTTGTTTTAATAAAACGTCAGGGATAAAGGTAGGTTACAGGCTGACAAGTAGTCAAATGCAAGAAGTACCGTAAAACTTCTATCCAATCATTAAATAGTATGGATCTGTATATTTTTCACTCATATAATTTTATAATGGCATTGCAAATAAAATAAAACATGTAGAAAATGAGTTCCTAACTTACCAGCAAGGAATGACATCCACCGCAGTTTTAATGATGCCAAGAAGGACGTTTGTTCAGAATTTTAGAATAGAATTAAGTTACTGAGTAGATGTACTGCCTGTATTACTATTAGCTAAACATATTGAAAAATTCAATCCCATATTTGAATCGCCTAATTTGTACATAGTATAAGTAAGTTATTAACTGAGCTAAGCTGAGACTCGGAAAATTCTTGAGACTTTCATCAATATAGGCATAGGCCTACTAATAATAATAATACCGTACATGTTTTCTTACCTAAAAACACGAATTAAATTATTTATAGCTAATACAATAACAATATTTTTTATTTGCAAATAGTGTAAAATAATTAATGAAAAAACCGAAAGGTCCACTGATTAATCTCAGATTAGATAGTATAATACATACTCCAAGTATCGAAATGCACGCCATCGTGTCGGGATTCAATATTTCGACATTAATTATGTCATCATCATTCCTGATGATACAAATAGAAGCCATTTAGACTGTAATTCATTCATTATTTTGTTGTTTTAATAAAACGTCAGGGGTAAAGGTAGTAGGCTGACAAGTAGTCAAATGCAAGAAGTACCATAAAACTTCTATCCAATCATGGATCAGTATGGATTAAGCTGTATATTTTTCACTCAGGCAAATATAATTTTATAATGGCATTGCAAATTAAAATAAAACATGTAGAAAAAGAGTTGCTAAATTATGTCATCATCATTCCTGACGATGACATAATGTCGAAATATTGAATCCCGACACGATGGCGTGCATTTACATACTTGGAGTATGTATTATACTATCTTATAATTACTGAAGTTTTTAAAAAAAGTATAATAATGACTGATAATTGATTGTTTTACAATGTTTCTATCGGTAAACTATTGTACTCTTTTTTGAATAAATGTTAGAAATCACGTCACAAGTTCAGGATTCGATGTCGAATTATGAGGCCTTCACCTCTGGTATAGTTCTCAAAATTTATTAACACGTAAAATAAAAATATTATGACATTTATTATCAGATATTTTTAAAAATATATTTCTTCCTATTATTCTTCATGTTGTTCTTTTAAAACGTTATTTTGCATTCATTATTAATACTAAATTAATGAACATAAGCAAGCCTAGCCTACCTACCGGAACTTTATTATGTTTATTGTATACTCAGTTTAACACAATACAATTTTCTAAATTCAAAGCAGAAGTTAGCTGGTTTCGCCACTCTAAACCCACTACTGAACTTTCTACTACGATTGAATATCTTGTTATGGAGCAAGAAACCTCGTTGTTCCTGCCTATTACCCAGGGCCGTCAGAACCGCACCTGGCACACCGGCTGGCCGGACCACTTCTTCACAATTCTTTCGTTTTTATAATACGCTTCGCATTGACATTTTAATGTTATATAGTTAAATAAAAATCCATTATGCGCTTGTGTTTTTGTATTGCCAATCTACATTTCAACTTTTTTAACATTCGTTAATTTTTAATAAAAAGAAAAAGATTGATTTTGAAAATGTTTAGAGGTTAGAGTTGGCCAAATTGATTACTTGCAATAACAACTTAAAAACCCCTAAAGTGAAGGAAATTGATGTGCTATTTCAACCGGTAAGGCAACATTTTTCAATCGTGGTACGATACATGGACCAGAGGTGGAGAATACGGTACTTGCCATTGGGGAGCTCTTTGTCTCATCGACAAGGATTAGAAAACTGCTTAAAAATAGTAAATTATTTCAGTATAATATAATATTAAATTGGATATAAATTAGTGAAATCATCAAAAATATCTATAAATATAGTTACATGAAATTCAACTGCTGGAAAGATTAAATTAAATTAAACAACAGGAGACCGCAAATTGTATTAAATGATTATACACAAGAACGCTCATCGTGCGTTTGGACAAGGAATGGCTTCTAAAATATCAATGTCTTAATAATTCTTATTCTGGCTCCTGGCAAGTTTAGAATATTGCGCCCTCTAAAGACTCCGTACTAAAATGAACCCTTGTATGTATTTGTATTGTACTTCTTCACTTCCGGTTTAATAGAAAGAAAACATCAAAAAAGGAGGGTTCAGATAGGGAGTTACTTGACAGAAAGTGCCAATAAATGTCAACAATGACTTATATTTCATGCACAGTTCGATTATGAAAATGAGGGTTCTGTAATTAACGGTAAGTTTCAATCATTTTATTATGTTTTGATTGCATAATTAGCCTATACTTGCGAAAGCTAGGCTTGCTTCACACTCAGCATGTATGATGGGTACTTCGCATGGAATTTACTTAGCATGATGATGACTTCTATTTCTACTGCATAGGGAAGGCTCGCCTATTTTATTTGTTTAGTAGACTAAAAGGCCTAGCTGTTGGGGGCCTAGATAGAGCATCTACAGTCTGCAGAGAGGACTAGCTGTAAAACAGTGCTTTGTTTTTGTGTTTTAGAATTTGTGTATAACAAAAAACACTGTGGGTAAAGCAAATGTGACGTTTTTTGTTTTAGTCAAACATTTTACCGGTAATTAAGAAAGAGGCCTAAAAAGATAGGAATGTTAAAAAAGTCCATCACCACACAAAACTATGTCTTCGGTTACGAAATTCTGGTTTCTTATAATGATAACGATACACTGTACTGTAAAGACATCTTTGTATAGTATAAATTGCCATCAAATTAAAAATACAATTGTGCAACTAAATTCTGAATTGGAGTTTGTATCAAACTTGATGATGATATGGCCGCTGGAAATATACATGGTTCTTGTCAGTACTTCTCAAAAAATTGATGGATTTTTGTTAACTTTTGTCTTTCATCACAGTATGGGTCAAAGATCACATGTCTATTTAAAATATGGGTGCGTGGTGGTCCACGATGATTATGGTTTGAGTGCATGTCACAGTGAAGTACGTCAGATTTTCATGAATATATAAACAGAATTGAATCAAAAGTATCGTCAGCTGTACTCTAACTAATTTACCTCTGTGGTTTTTTTTTTTTTTTTTTTTTTTTTTTTTTTTTTAAAGAGACAAATATGGAAGATGGTTTTTTTTTATGCCTGGCCTAAAATCGCGAGTGGCTGGCTGACGGGAAACCTTTTAATATGTGTTTCCAGTGACCTAAAGAGAAAATATTAAACATAACATGACAAATAATTCAAATTAATTACAAATCAGAAACATACATTAGTAAGGTTCTCATAGTGTGAAAGTAAGACAAACCCAACAATTGCAGCTATTTTTCCTAATTTTTCAGGTCTTGCATATCAATGACTACCAAACAGTTTTTCTGTGGAAATTGGTTTTATTCCTCTTTAGTCTTGATATATCATTACTAATTTAAAATGCAATTGACACTTACGTCACTAATGGATCCCAAATGTGCAATAATTGAAAATTGTTCTTGAGTTTTTAACAGAAAACAAAAAAAATCAAGCTAAATACCTATAGCTTGTTTGTTCTTGTTTCAAAACTATATATATATCATCGTAAACATACAATAAGTGACTGAAAGTGTAATAGAGATACAAAAAAACAGCTATTGAAAAAGGATGAAATGAATGAATTGATTCGGCACGAGCCAATTAATCCTTGTAAGATTTAGTTTCCATTGGGGTCCCTATGTTTTAAATATATTAAATATGGATGGACATACTAATCCACAAATAACAATAATAATAACATGAACAATAACAATTTTAATAATAATCATTATTATAACTATTACCATCATCATCTTTATAATAATAATAATAATAAAAATAACAACAACAACACAACAACAATAACAATAATAATTAATAAAAATAATAATAATTAATAATAATAATAATAATAATAAGTTAATACTTTCTCAGGAAATAAGCATGACTTTGTGTTATTCTAGATATAAAATTTTTTTTTTTTAAAGTTTTTTTTATCATATTTTTTTTTCAGTTTATGTTTGAAAATGTCTTTAATGGTAATTCCCTTGAAATAGGTAGTGCATTCCAATTACTTATGCTATGGAAAAAAAAGAGAATATTGTAGGTGATGAATGTTTGAATTTGGGTACAACAAAGTCATGCCCAGTTGTTCTAACACTAAGTTTATATTTATTGCATCCAAACCAATAACAGGATGGAAATACAACATATTTATTTACTAGATTCAAAATTGTAATTTACTGCACTCTACATGCCTAAATACATGCTTCTAATATTAGTAGACTAAATTGAATGAAAGCATTTCATTCCACTGTACTCTACCCATGGAACTACTTATTCTACAATAGCCACATTTAAAGACTTTTTGCACATATTTACTCAACAAAACATATATCCGTAGAAACATTACTGTGTACTCCATCAGTTGTTATCAATATTTAGATTTCTACACCATCCACATATTTTTTTTTTTACACAGAAAATTTACTCAACACTCAACAATAAATATATTTGCAGAACTTAACCACCATGTACTCCACATCCATTGTGTATAGATGTTTAGAATTTATTTGCATAGAAAATTTACTCAACAAACTTCACCGCTGTGTGCTCCATCTTTATTTATTTTTTTTTTATTTTCCCGTTATTTAGAGTAAAAAACATTAAGCAGATGGTTACGAAATTGTATGCAAAATTTGGAAAGGAATCTGCACCAAATTTTCAAAGTGCTGTAACAAATTTCACGATTGCTTAGGAATATCCCCCTTTAGTAAGCCCTATGACACTTTTCTACATTTTACTGTGTCTGTTATTTTTAATGATAAAAATAATGTTTTATGATGAAACTTCATCCTCTTATTTATTTAAAAGAAAGGTGCCAATACATTATTAATAATAATGAGGAAATGTTGTACACTAGTTTTTTTTTTTTTGCACTCCTACAATTTGGCTATGTTCATACACACTATGTAGCGGTTAGCAGGATCCAGATTACAAACATATGAGCTCACCGTTGCGTTCATATACGAGAATCCCCGATCCAGATATAAAGAACATGACAGCGGGATCACTCGCAAATTGGAAATGCGTACATCTGATAGGTCGATGATAGAAATGAGGTCAACTTACTAACCGATAGCGCTCGCTAACCGTATCCAATTCATAGTAACGATTAGCGCTAACCAATCGATCGGGTGTGCTAGCGGTTAGCTCTCGATCTGGATGTTAAGGTTCTAGTGTGAACATACCCTTTAGTTCTAAGCCTTACCATATGTTGAAAGAAACCCTTTCTGAATTGTAACATGATCCCTTAGACTTGTGACACTAACAGGAAAGAAAGTGGTTACTTGTAACCTGAATTGAAGTATTAAAATTGGAAGGAAGGGAATAGTTATTAATTTTGGCAATGTTATTTTCCAACCAGGAAAAGTGATAGAGTACAGTTTAATCGTTCCTTTTATTTAGGTTTGGCACTAAATTCACTGTTATTGTATTGTTTCCGGCGGCAGTCGGTTTCCTGCTTTTGTGTCTCCCGGGCAATGATGCCAAACGAATAAATAAATAAAAATTTTTTGTCTTGGTACGTGGAACAATCAAGAGAAGTACCAGTTTAAATATTGGCATTTCAAACTACTGTCTCATGAGTAGCTAGCAATAGGCCCTCTTTTTTGGGGGCCTGAAGAGGCAGGCTGGCAAACACAGCATTGATACTGGTGTCTGTGGGTTAATGTTTCTCTAGCTAGTCAAGATTTTTTCGTACCGTACATTGTTTACCAACCCACCAGCTGCTAGATAAATGATTTAAAAAAAAAAGAACAAATATTTGTTGTTGGTTGTTTTGCACCACCATGCAAAATTGAAAATCATACAGGCTATTATTAGCCTCATAATTAGACAATTATAGTCCCTATTAGGGGACACTTTTTCGACCAAAACAGTGTCCACTTAATAGGGGTGTCTCTTGAATAGGTGTTGGCTGTAGTGTTAAAATATGTAGGCTTACTTTTGTTTTGTGGCCAAAAAAGTGCTCCCTTAGATTGCCCACTTTAATAGGGTTGTCTCAAAGGAGGGGTTCTTTTTACTTTAGTTTATAAAGCGTTGTTGAATCCTGTATTGGTAGTAAGTACTTCCTATTGGTTGTGAAGAAATTAAAAAAAATATTTTAACCATTTACAAGTTTACAATTAAAAATGATTCACAAAATTCTTAAATATTAATTATAATAATAATAATAATAAATAAAATAATTTACGGTATGTAAATTTAGTATTTAAACAACTTTTCCATTTGTATATTTTCTGAAAATTGTGTTCCCAGCAGTGAGATTTAAACACATGACCCTTTTACAGCTTTGTAGATGAACTGAAGGGTAGCTAAGTGTTTTAGCTTCAATAAATGAAAGGTATTCCCAAAACAATAATTACAATTTCCTGGTAGCCTGTAAAATCAGAATCACTATAAAAAGCTGATTTATTGTCGTAAAGAGGATGTTGGCGGTTGAGTGAGATGTGAGAATCCTGGATGTGGCAACAGATCTCCCAATATTGATGCAGTACCAGCTGTATAAATCTGTTTAACACCTCCATAGCAACAAAGGCAAAATATAGTTACTATATTGATGGAGTACCAATGCCATTGTCCCTAAAACATTTATTCCCTCATTGTTTTCTAGTTATTGTGAAATAAACCTTAAGTTTCTAAGAGCTTGCACATGTGCCTGTCCACATGAACAGTTTTTGTGATTGAAATTGTGTTGTTCTTTGTCTCTTCAGCTGTAGCCAATGAATAAAATGTTTGCTACACTGCTGGTCAGCCTTTGTTGTTTCATATTAGCCAATAGGATTTTCCCTTATAAACAGTGGACTGAGAAAGTCACCAGGTTTAAATATCAGTCACATCTATAATAAGGACAGATATTCTCTAGACCGTGTCAGTCATTAAGTTGTATGTTGTTTCTGAAAGCAATATTTTGTTTGAACCAAGGGATTTGCTCTGTAATCAACATATTTAATTTTATTACTGTGTTCTCATTGTTGGACTTAAAATGACTGTATCAAACATGTAAGTATAATTCATCTGGATCAACAATAACAACAACATTAGCAAGTTAGCATTTCAGTTTGGCCTTTTGACCATTGCGAATTTTAATTTAGTTAAATATAATTACGCTCGTTTCTTGTATTGTTATGCCTGGCCTAGGCTTCCCGAAGTTGTCAAATTGACAAATTAAAAAACATGTTGTTTACTTTTCCCCCAGTGTTTTTATTGCGGTACTTTTAAGTCAATTACTTATTTGTTATATTACAATTATTAGTATTAGGATAGTAGTTATTCAATGAATTGAATTGACTGAAAACATACAATACAAAATATGTTTCATACATCGCGACCAAACATGTTCGCAGCCGAAACGGTCATTCACCAATCAATCTCTGCACACAATAACATCCAATCAGATTTAGATTGGTGTACCCATAAGCCACTAGCCTGGTTCACTTCAAAGTTAAGCCGCCTATCTTAAATCTTGAAATATGATACGATTTTCCCTAGTTGTGTTCAATGCCAAGTTAGAGCCAGATAAAGCAGCCAGCCAGCTTCCAGGCCATCGAAGTCACTAAACAGGAATTGAGGGAAAACCTGACTGAAAAATCCATGTGGTGGAAAGGCTTGTTTAATAAAATTAATACCAAGGGGTATTTGTAATGACAAATTGTGAACTACTGTGGATCAGGTGTCAGGTTCCACTACTAGCCTAGCTATCCTCTGCCATTGATATACAGTATAGGCTGACGGCGAGCAGGTACATGCAGTATGATCCAACCCACGGTGCAGCAGCGTGGTCTACTATTATAGTAGTAGACTAGGGCCTAGCTAAACTTTGATAAAAAACAAAATTATTTTTCTCCCATTTAACAAAATATTGTTTTAATTCCTATTAAAATGTCTGTATTCTTTATGGACCCTTCTGTCTTAGTTTTTAGATCGCTGAATTGTGTTGTTTACATGCACTTCGCGAAAATCTAGCTTCACGGTGTCAAATAAGTTGCTGAACCCAACATACTTTACTATTCTTCATTGTAAACATATGCGCTCATTTCAACGTCTGGCGTTGGTGGTAGTTCTGAATTAATAGCAATTATTATAGCGGAAATGGTAAACAGTCAGTAAATAAATACAACAAACCTAATTTTATTATAAGAAAAATATATATTATCACTTTGAAAAACGTACGTAATCGGACTATTTTGACATTTGGTCGTTGATGCAAAGGGCAAAGATCATTTGTAAAATCGACTATTCATATTTAAATACTCATAATGTTACAAATAATTTCTGTAAACCAGGCTAATGAGACTACTTGTTGCTGTTGTTAGCATTGTTGGAGTATGTTGTTGCCAGCCAGAAGATGATGATAACAGTTCAACAACAATGCTGGCTTAGATGCCTACGTTATGTGATCGTGTCCTTGAAATCCGAGTCGACTTTACAATTAAGCAGGTTAATTTACTGTTAATCTAGTGAAGTTAAGGCTATGTTCACACACACGGCGTAAGACTGGCGTAGCTTACGCACGGATTAAAATTTCAAAGTGTTCACGCAAATGGCGTTCGCTATATTAACGCTGGCGTTAAACTAGTAGGATAGGCCTATGGGGGAATAGTTTTAAATAATGTACGGGTTCTTAACTGTAGTAAAATTAACAGTGCATCAACTTTTAAATCTGTGAATTGTTCGAAGTAAAATTATATGATTATTGTATTTTAAATGAACAATTTTGCTTTGATTTTTCAGCTAGCATTGTTGGTGTTGCAGGTTTTAATAGACAGTCTAAATATGTTTTAAAATATCTTACAAAACACAATCAACAAATCATATACATTATAACTAAGTAAAATACAATAGAAAAAGAACCCCTTTACCATTTCATTTATAGAGAGCACAGGAAAGAGACCAAAGTAGCTAATATATTGTAATCGTGATTGGTCAATCTCTTGAAATGAGGTAAAATCATTCAAGCATCACTGGCGTTAGCTAATCTGGGGTCTGCAGGTAGCATTAATAATGCCACGGACGTGGCGTAGTGAGTGGCTTTAACAACGCCACTGCCAAGTTCACAGTTTATGTAGACATAATTGACTGGTTCACGTCGAACCTATATCTAGATAAGTGGATGTATATCTAGATATAAGTTTGATGTGAACCAGGCTACTGCCTACTGTATTTTATTTCTTCCTCCACAACAAAGATGGCTACTGGACATAGTCATACATTTCTACTATAGGTTATGCTTTGTCACTCATGGATTTGTGGATGGTCAGAGTAGCTTAGCTCATTTGGCTAAACTGGTGAAAGCCACTGTGTGTGTGTGCACTGAACTGTGGAGATCTTTACATAAAATTTGGTTTCTGGTTCAGTTCTATCCAGGCTTCCCATTGTGTTTTAGGAAGGCTGAAATTTAAGTTTCAAAACATTAGATGAGACCTTTAACACGTTGGCTGCTAGCGACGAGTATACACGCCCGCAGGGTGTTGCTGAGGGCGCCAGGAATGAGTATACTCGTCAAAAACGGGGGAACATTCTAGCGTTTATAACTTCTTTATTATACAATATAGGACCACAGACTCAATGGCTGGTAGTTTGGGAAGATACACCTAGACGATAACATACAAATGACATACTGTATGTTTGTTTGTTGTGTTAGTTGCTGGTAGTACACTCGAGCAGTACAAGTGGGGGCACCCTTTGAACATATACCAACCCATGCAAAACGAGGACGAGATAACACGCACTTGGCATAGTCAGTAAAAAGTTCTATCACAGTGCCATCGACGAGTATACTCGCCCCCTAATATTTTCCCGCCAATTTATTAGACTCATTATTTTGATGATATATGACTAGATAAAATTTCAAAAAAGTATGTTTGTACATGTAAACTTGTTTTGGCACACGGGAAGGAACCGTAAAAAAAGGTCTGGCAGTCAACGTGTTAAGCCATTGGTTGGGTGTGCAATATGGCCCATGATGTGCATGTTAAAAAAAAAAAGTAGCCTACACTCTTCATAAAAGAGTAGAGAATTTCCCAAATATATACTGTATTGTTGTGCAAAAAATGCAAGACGTCACAGACGAGTAAATCCACTCAATGTTTACTTTGTCATGTAAACTGATAACCTCCCAGCAGTATTATGGATCCAGTGACTAGAAGCATTATACCTCCATGCTAGGAGTAATAATAAAGGTTATATTTATACCCCACAAAATAATAGGGTCGCTGCCTAATTCACTACCAGAAGGACCCCACTGGAAATAGTTTGTACATTTTTGGATTAATCTACACTATCTTTGGTGCAATTCACACTGAGAAAAAACCCTTATCTAATCCAGGATGATTGCTAAGAGGTGTTTTGCTTCGTGAATAAAAGTTGAAAAAAAAAAAAAGTCATTCCAACAATAGAATACAAGTGTGGATGAGGAACATATTTATTTTTCAAGCCTATTGTAAATTACACGTTTTAAAAAAAGACCAGTTCATGTAATTAGTATTGATTTGTCAAAAAGTCTTTTTATTTTTGTTTTATATTTTTTTTATGGTTTCTAATCTACACCTCATTAAACCAGTATCTATATAGTGAATGACACTACCAAATGATATTACTAAAAGATATTATTTGAATTTAATTGTATAATAGAATGGGTCTGTCGGAATTGTTGTAGTCGTACTAGGACGAAAATTAGATATTACCAAATGCAAAAAATATTTAGAGATGTTGTTCTCATGTGGATAGGTTTGCTACTAATTGTAATTATTTATTCACAGATTGGGAATTTATAAATTGTTGACTCAGTGCTTTAAACTAGTGCAGTGGCCTGATCTATTATTATTACTTTTCAAAACAGTAATGTGATGGCTGATCATATCAGCTCCCTATTGTAAATGTTAAGCTTCAGATAAATCTGTGTTTGCACTGACCATAGAGAAAATAGAACAGAAGGAGTAACATCGACTTTATCGCTTATCTTTAATCCAATTAAACAGTCAGCTAGTGCCTATTAAATTGCACTACGGCCACCCGCGGAGCTTATCACAGCACTATCTCTTTGTACACACAGCTCCTCGCCGCTTAAGTGTAAACCCCTATAGACGATCTGGCGTTAGTGGAGTACTTAATACACAAACATTAAAACATTAGAATTAAAAAACACATGCGCAGTTCATCATCCACGGTTTGTTTGTGTGCGTGTTGGAGGTCTGTACCTTTGATCTTCGCTCGATGTTACTCCTTCTGTTCTATTTTCTCTATGCACTGACATTCATCTCATATAGATCAATACACTAGTAATATGTATTGTTGAAGATAGGCAGTGGCTGTTATTGTCCATCTTACATCAGTGAATTTGTAAATTATTAATTAGTAAATATAAGATAAACAGTGCTTTTATACAGACTATATTGTTATTGATACACATGCTTTCGACAACACAACATCGTATTTTACGAATTGTAATCAATAATATTCATTTTACCAATGAAACTGAAACCATACAGTAGATCGTGTACAGTAACTATTCTTCTGGCCTTTCCATCATGATTTATTTATGCAACGATTCATCAAAACCATGAAGTGTTTTTGTTGCGATGGGCGATTGGTTTTGTGCCATACAGTATTCACATGTTAGGCTATCATAAGACTTCATCTGTAGTAGGTTTCAATTTTACTCTCTGAAAATAATAGTAAAATTATATTTATATTTGGCATATAATTTGTGTCCGAGTCCTTCAGATATTTCAATACTGACCAACACAAAATCTGAACTCTAAATCGCAGTATTGCATTCTCTATAGAAAAGGGCATCCTAATGTTTTTCCTCACACATGTTTTTTTTTGTATAAAATATTAAAAAAAAGAAAAAAATTATTTTTATAAAACTTTTATGCTTTTTTAGCAGAACTACTTTATTTTGCTAATTTTTGAGATAAAATAAAATCAGTTATTGTCAAATAAAACAACTGGAAATGTGTTTCCTCTGGTAATACAAAGACAAAAATCAATTTACAATT